GATTAGTCGACTAATCGAAAAAAATAATCGGTGATTAATTGATTATAAAAATAATCGTTTGTGGCAGCCCTACTCAGTTATACGCCGTTTTAAGATACATTTTGGTGCTATGTGCATATAAACAGCAAAAAAAATATGGAGGAGAGCATCTGGTAGGAAGTTAGTCATTCAGTTCTGCAGTTGGAATTGTAAATTAGCAAGAAGAGGTGAACGCCGTGAGGAAAAAAAAGTGTTTTTGAATTATTATTTTTTTGCCACTTCAGTAGAAAACAGAACTGAATGTTAGTTTCTTAATTTGTAAAATGTTTTTGAATTCTGAAAATGTGGATAAAAACTATGTGTCAAACACCACTAAGTAATTACCTGYGTTGTTCATATTGTAATCAAAGAAAGCCAGAACAAGCACCAAAAAGAAGGATGAGACAGGAAGGATAATAGAAAACACAGTGATTCAGGTTAGTTACAAAATGWATTAATAAAAGCTTTTAAAAACACTGCCACTTGTATATTAGTATTACCATAGAGGCTAGTACAAAAGACTAAAAGGAGGACATTTTTTAACCATTTATAAGTCGTGAAACATAAGTGGTTTTATAGAAGTGATCATTTTTTGTGTGTGAATGAAAACATTAGCATTAGAAAGGCATGTTTTTAAATGTAGTTGTGTTATGAGTGATCAACTAGAAAASCATTTTTCTGATCTTATGTATAAAGCAGGCAAAGTCATGGTCAAGTACAATTAACCGAACGGTCAAAACGGTTTGTGAAAAAATCTTGATGTGTTTCTGAGGCCTTGTGGAGGAAGGAGCAAAATCACTTCGGTCCATCTCATCCTTTCAGTCACTACTTTCTGTCCTTCACTCAAAAGACAACATCACATCTTTGGTCCACAGCCACACACAAACACACAACAGCCGGGCCCTTATCTCCAACACACAAACCATTTTCTGTTCCAATATTCCCACATGTGGTCCAGACAGATCCAATCTGACACAMCTTCAACCCCTCCACCAAAGCACTAAATATTATATAATCAAAGCAGCTTTGAGTCATTTGAGGCTGGAAATAAATGTGCTTATTCCTCAAAAGTAAAATAATAAAAAAAAAACAGCACAGAAACAACGAGCAGCTGTGAGGATTCCACCAAACGCTGTGTTTTTGATTAAAAATGAGGCAAGATCTCTTCAGAAYCTTCTCGCCGAAGCACTGGTTGCAAACTAAATAATGCAAGAATGAATTCACACTCACGCACACACACAGTCTAACACACTGTTGTTAACGATCTATGGTATATTCATTAATGTGTTCACACTCCTGAGACAAAGTGGGAGTATGGTCGGCAGAGGAGCCTTGGCTGTAAATCAATAGAATAAATAGAAACATATGAATAAAACACAAGCTAATAAATAAAAGAGGAGACGTTTACTCCTGCTGTTAAGTACAGTGGAGACCGTCTCTCCGATCTGTGAAGACAATGGGAGAAGTGCAGAAGATGAAAAGACAAGTAGAGAAAAAAATAACGTGTTGTTGCTTTTTTTTTTTTTTTTTTTTTTTTCATTTTTCTGGTTTCCATTCCTGAATAAAGTATATGCCTTTAGCTAGTTCTTATTTATGGTAAACATTTTTGAAATATTTTATAAACGCACAACCCGCACACATCAGAACTGTATTTTTACCTCTAGCTGTTTTTTGTTGTATTTTGGTTGTAAAACGTTTAAAGCATTTAAAAGGCGTGAACTTTACGGTCACATTTGTTGTTACTCCTGATTTCAGAGATGAAATTATTGGTTTCCGTAAACAAACAACTAGTTTTTAATTTCAACAGGCATAAATTTTTATTTTTCGACAAATAAAGAAAATTGATAATGTGTCTCCAAAAACATGTTTTAATGAAGAAATTGATTGTTTTGGATTGTTTAAGTAGTTGGTTTGTTTTTATTCTTAATGATTTTGTTGTTTTKACTTTAAGTTCTGTTGTAATTTATAAAAGTGACAAATGCCATTCAAACTAAAGCAGGAACGTTTTTTCTAAAATAATGAATTTAAACTGCAAGAACCATATACCCTTAAATATATCCAACATTGGGCCATTTTTAGATATTTTAATTTCTCTCACAGAAACTTGCATTCAACACAAACCACGTCAGTTTTTCACTCGTCTTTTTGAAACATGCAGCTGGCAAATTTCTGACATCAGTTAAAAATGTTTGTTTCTTTATTTGATATGTTTTATTTGACTTTTTAATTAAATATCAACATCAAATAATTTGAAAAGGATTACAT